TCCTGCTTTAGTCTTTAGTTTGGGGAGAAAACAATGTCAATCACTGCTGAAATTACACATAGGACTAAAAACCTAGAGGAAGGAAAAGATGGCACAGAAACAATAGTACAAGAAACAAGGATACAAGATGCCCCATTTGAACTTTTAAAAGAAAAGGATTTGTGATTTCTGGAGGGTTCTTGGAAACAAGGCATGCAGACCTTACATTTTGGTATCATCATATGGCTTCAAGTCGACTCACAGTGATCCTATAGAAACACATTGGTAGAATTGGTTAAGAGGGTTTCAATAACAATAACAATAATAATAATAATAATAATAATAATAATATTTTAACAACATATACAAGGGGTTGTTTTTGCCTTCCTCTAAGGCTGTCAGAGGGTGCCTTACCCAAAGTCACCCAGTTTTTATGGATGAATACGGATTCAAACACTTGTCTCCCAGTGCCTTTGTCCAACATTGAAACCATTATACCAAGCTAGCTCATCAGATCCCATATATCTTGTTTATTGTTTAAAAAGTAAATTTGAAACTATTGTGGCCTTGGCAAGTTCATTAGGTGAGGAATGCAGTCCAGAGTGGATTCAAGATAATAATAATTATTTATTTCTATCCCGCTTTTCTCCCAGATGTGGACTCAAAGCAACAATGCCAAGCCTTGGGACTTTCCACAGAGCTAGATCAATCCACAGACTGTCCACAGAGCTAGATCAATGGATCCTAAATAACAATAAAGGGGGCAACCTGCTCCTCCTCACCTTGAGCTCACAATATTTATGAGAAAAGTCAGGGTTCAAAAAAGTGCATGGCCCATGGGCATCAGATAAGTTTATGGTTGAGGGTTGAACAGAAGGTGGATCTCTCAAAACACCACCCACTATACTACATTGTAGTGCAAAGGGTAATGTACTGTCAGATGTACATATATATATATATGAATTTGTTGTGAGATGAGCTTTTTTTCCTTTTACAAGGATTGAATATGAGTAGCTCTTTGAGTGTTGTAGGGATGATAGCTCCCAGCAACCCTAGCTTGGAGCTAATGGCAAAGATGGCAATCCATTGTCTGGAGAGCCATAAAGTACATTTAAAGCATCATGTTTCTATTCACTTCTACATTTAGTTTGACTATTTTGTTATAAGACTTGCCCTCTCATGTTGCTTGTCCACCTATGCTCTGGCATTCATCTGTGAAATGTTGAAGAGTATTTACTAATGATTTTGCTACTGTGCATCTGGTTCATATCTCAAAGGGAAATTTGAAAGAGTAAGTTGAGAAAAAGGCTGACCATAGTCATATAATATTGTTGCTGTGGTTTGATTAGCGAGTTTTATTTGCTCACAGTACAGACAACTAGGTCTACAACAAAAATCCATGCTTCATTTTTAGTATTGTTATTTGTACATCAGCAGACCTGGCCAGCTCTGCATTATGTGATACAATGGAAAGTGCAAGCATCTACACAATTTTCAATAGCACAGCAAAGCTTTGGATTAGCTTTTTTGGGTTGTTTCACAAGAGCAATTCTCATTGAATAGCTGCCCATCACATGCTTTCTACAGGAATGTGACTGCTTAACCCAGTCCATAAATGTTTCTGCTCTATTTATCTATCTAGGCAGAATTATCCAAGTGAGCAGTACAATTTTCAGATAGAACGTGTATCCCAAAAGAATACTAATACTATATATACTAGAGGTGTGCAATTTTTTCATTACTCATTGTAAGTTGGATCGAATTAATTAAATTAGCACTTATGACACTCTAAGGAAAATATATTGTCGAAGGCTTTCACGGCCTTAATCACTGGGTTGTTGTTTTTGGGCTTTATGGCCATTGTTTCCATCAGTGCCTCGAGGCCGGATGGCTGCGTGCCAGCAGGTTGAGGGTGAATCCAGCAAAGACGGAGATCCTATGGCTGGGTCAACCAGGCAGTGGGGATATCCAACTGCTTACCCTGGATGGCGAGGCGCTATGCTCATCACCATTGGTAAAGAGTCTGGGAGTCCTTTTGGACCCTCTGCTGACGATGGAGGCCCAGGTCTCCGCCGTTAGCAGAACCGCCTTTTTTCATCTGGGGCAGGCTAGACGTCTGGCCCCCTACCTGTCCAGGGATGACCTAGCTACGGTGATCCAGGCTACGGTCATCTCAAGACTGGTCTACTGTAACGCCCTCTACATTGGCCTTCCTCTGTCAGTGATCCGGAAGCTCAAGTTGGTACAAAATGCAGCTGCTCGGCTTCTTGCGGGAATTCCGATGAGATGCCACATAACACCAATCTTACTACAGCTGCATTGGTTACCAATTGAGCACCGGATCACTTTCAAAGTGATGGTACTCACCTTTAAGGCCTTGCATGGTCTGGGGCCGATGTACCTGAGGGACCACCTCACCCCCTACCAACCCCAGAGATCCCTCCGTTCTGAGGACCAAGATCTATTGGAAATTCCCAGTGTCAAGACCTTGCGTCTAACAGCAACCAGACGCAGAGCCTTCACAGCAGTGGCACCATCACTCTGGAATACTCTGCCACGTGAAGTCCATGCCTTGCGGGATTTATCAGCTTTCTGCAGGGCATGTAAGACATATCTATTTCGACGGGCCTTTGATCTCTGATTGTTTTTAAATTGTTTTAAATTGTTTTAAATTGTGTTCGATTTTAGCCTGTTCTTGTAAGCCGCACCCAGCCCCAGGGGAGTGGTGGCATATAAGTTCAAATAATAAATAAATAAATAATAAAATGTTCTAGAAGCATTCTCTCCTGATGTTTGCCTGCATCTATGCCAGGCATCCTCTGTCATAGAGAATGTTTCTAGAACATGGCCACACAGCCCAAAAAACCTACAACAACCCGCTCTAAGGAAAGTCAGGAAGTACACAAGAATTTAACCAAAATTCCAGAGCAGTCCCATACTTTGGGCACAGCAGGGAGATGAGCAGAGGTACGAAACTGACCAGCAAGCACAAGAGAGTCTCATCCCACCCTCTCTCTCTCTATATATATGAGCTGTGCAAAATTTTCATTACTAGTTGTAAGTTGGATCAAATTTGTTAAACTCATACTTACCACGTAATATCTAACATGCGTCTGTAGCCCACATCAAATAATTGAAAATCAAAACTTACCCAATATTTTTTGTTTGTGCTTTGTAAATCTCAGAAGCCTCCCAAAGTCAGTTTTATTTTTAGCACAAGCAAGCAAAGCAAAGCCAAAAAAGGCGCTTTTCCTCTTTAAATTGATGCCTCTCGCTATTAGGAGAGGGAAGCAGCAGCGAGAAAGCAGAGTTCCCCCTGCCAAGAAGTAGGAATATTACATTCAAAGCACACCCGACAGATAGCCATCCAGCCTCTGTTTATAGAATCATAGAATCATAGAGTTGGAAGAGTTGAGATTCCATCTGAACATGAGGAAGAACTTCCTGACTGTGAGAGCCGTTCAGCAGTGGAACTCTCTGCCCCGGAGTGTGGTGGAGGCTCCTTCTTTGGAAGCTTTTAAACAGAGGCTGGATGGCCATCTGTCAGGGGTGCTTTGAATGCAATATTCCTGCTTCTTGGCAGGGGGTTGGACTGGATGGCCCATGAGGTCTCTTCCAACTCTTTGATTCTATGATTCTAAGACTTGCTTCTCTATACACTGCTCTAACATGAACAAATTCTGTCAGCATAAGTTGCATAAATTGTATTGGATGACAATTATATTAAAATGCATGGAACAACCCACATAACAGCACAGCTACAATACAATCCCATACCCATTCTGTGCAATTGAGTGACACTTGCACCCATTTATCATGGTATAAGACTATAGTGTTCTGGAACAACTGTTCCAGGAGCTCCAATTTTATTTGCTTTGAATTAAATGTCTGTTTGCAATCCCAGGCTTGGGATTTTGCAGCAGGGTGGCTTCCTGTTATAGTTTGCAATCATAGGGCAAGCCACCTGTCAATTATAGTTAGGTTCCCTGGTCCCGCCCCTTTTTGAGTTTTGGAGGGAATAGGAGCCTTTTTGAGTCAGTTCTCACAGAGAAGCCTTTCGCACAGGACATAAAACGAAGAGCTCCTGTAGAAAGCTTTGTCTTCTACGGCTTGGCCGGGGAGATATACAGCCTACAGCCTACAGCTTGGTCGGGGAGAAAAGGCCCTACAGCTTGGCTGTGGATTTTGCAGCCTTACAGCTCCTTTGCTGAGGGACTTCAGCCAGCCATCACAGCAACCTGAACTCCTTCTTTTTCCCTGGAAGTCTACAAAGCTCTGCTTGGTAAGGGTCGCTCGCGGAAGCCAGACGCAGTTGGTACCGGGTGCAGGGGCTCCACGCCAACAGAGGCAAAGACAGACTGCCCAGATTAGAAGTTAAGATTTCCCCATTAGTTAGTATACAGTTATGAAGATAGTGCCTGTTCCCAGTGAACAAGATTGCAAGAGCCAATAGACTGTTAAGAAAGCTTTAAAGTACCTGTTTGTTTTCATCAATAAAGAACTTTGTTGGACTTACTTTAAGCCTCTACAGAACTTTGTTTTGGGGAGGTCCAAGGCCTTTAATCTGAGGCAGCCCCGGCGTCCCGTTGGGCACACAGAATTTATGTCCTGTCTACAGTCATATGCACAGGCCCAGCGTGCGACAGCACAATAGCATAACTTACTGCTTCTTCTTTTGGTCATTATAAATTACTCGATACTCAGTGGTGCTGGTCTTGAGAATGCAACAATTCCATATGATTTTACAAATTGCCTAGCAGTGATTTAGACTGCAATTTTTACAGCTTCACTCAGAGGATGCATGAAGGTAAGCATCCTGAAAGATAGTCTCTGGTGTTGTATTCAAGTCACTGGAAACTATAAGAAACTTGAGAGATGTTTGCCATCTTCAGAATGAATGTACAGGATTCCAGGGGATGTCAGTTTGCAATAAAGAAGTCACAATCGGAATATGTGGGGCAGCTACATATTTTCAGATACAATGGAGTAAAAAGAAACAGCCATTTCTGCTTCTCTTACAGGAAGCTGATGAAGCTCTGTTGCGTAATTTGGAGCTACAGATTGAACTGCAGTTCTTGCAAGATGATGTCAATTCTACAAAGGACAGATACAAGAAGGTAATTGCCTAAAGCTAACAATGGGCCTTTTCTGTTTCATGACCAAGAGCATGTGCACATGCAGAAGAATATACAATATACATTTTGGCAATGGAGTCAACATGGGACTCTCCACCATTTGCAATGAATGCATTGCAAGTAATGATATTTCCTACAACAAATTACTTTTTGAGTCCCTTTGGGGAGATAGAGTGGGATATAAATATAAAGTATTATTATTTGAAACACAACAAGATGAGTCCACAGCAGACAAGATCACTCTGCTGGCTGTTGTATTGGATCACACATCGGACACTTCCCAGGTGTCTAGGACTGTGTGATGTATCAGCAAAAAATGCGTGCAGAGCCCAGTAAGGTGGCCTTTTGCAGCTGGCAGATGGGAATCTTCTCAGCGCTGATTGTGTTTAAGTGCAAGCCAAGGTCTTTAGGCACTGCACCCAGTGTGCCGATCACCACTGGGACCACCTTGACTGGCTTGTGCCAGAGTCTTTGCAGTTCGATCTTTAAATCCTCATATCGTGTCAGCTTTTCCAGTTGTTTCTCTTCAATCCTGCTGTCACCTGGGATTGCGACATCAATGATCTATACTTGTTATTATTATTATTAAGTATTATTATTATTAAGTATTATTATTATTACTATTGTTATTATTCTGTAAGCAAAATTGTGGAGATGTTCATTTTGAAAAACTTTGCCACAATGGACAAAACTATAATTTTTGGTGAAATGTGTAAAAATATTATACTGTGGGGATATTGCTGATGTCCTTAATCATGCAATGTGAGCAAAGGGGAAACTGCCAATTTTTACATTTTCAAACACTGGCTTTTCACATTCAGAGCAAACCAAGACCGTTGTTGCTTCAGCAGTTCTAATACATGACAAACAGGAAATTGTGCTAGTTGTTAACTATTCATCTTGATCTGGCATGGTGTTCAAGGAATGGGTAATATAACAAGCATATGATAAAATAATAGAACACCCCCCCCCCCGAAGTTTTGGAATCTATATAAATAAAAATGTAATGTTCGTTTGTGGTATTCACAGAATTCAAAAACCACTGGACAAATTCACACCAAATTTGGACACAAGACACCTAACAACCCAATGTATGTCCTTCACTCAAAAAAGATGATTTTATCATTTGGGAGTTGTAGTTGCTGGGATTTATATTTCACCTACAATCAAAGAGCATTCTGAACTCCACCAACGATGAAATTGAACCAAACTTGGCACACAGTTCTCCCAAGACCAACAGAAAATACTGGAAGGGTTTAGTGGGCAGCGTCCTTTGGTTTTGGAGTTGTAGTTCACCTACATCCAGAGAGCACTGTGGACTCAAACAATGATGGATCTGGACCAAACTTGGCATGAATCCTCAATATGCCCAAATGTGAACACTGGTGGAGTTTGGGGAAAACAGATCTTCACATTTGGGAGTTTATATTTCACCTACAATCAAAGAGCATTCTGAACTCCACCAACGATGAAATTGAACCAAACCTGGCACACAGTTCTCCCAAGACCAACAGAGAATACTGGAAGGGTTTGCTGGGCATTGACCTTGAGTTTGGAAGTTGTAGTTTACCTAGATCCAGAGAGCACTGTGGACTCAAACAATGATGGATGTGGACCAAACTCTACACGAATATTCAATATACCCAAATGTGAACACTGGTGGAGTTGAGGAAAATATAATCTTGACATTTGGAAGTTGTAGTTGCTGGGATTTATAGTTCACCTACAATCACAGAGCATTCTGAACCCCATTAGCAACACCATTGAGCCAAACCTCCCACACAGAACCCCCATGACCACCAGAGTAGGCAACAGCAATGTGTGGCAGGGGACGGTTAGTGTGTAATAAACATGCTACTTCAATTTGTTTTTACTTAGGACCCTTCCAAACAGGCCCTATATCCCAGGGTCTGATCCCAGGTTTCAACCTGGATTATTTGAGTCTCCACTGCCAGATAATCTGGGATAAACAGAAAACTTGGGATCAGATCCTGGGATATAGGTTCTGTCTGGAAGGACCCTTACAGTAGCCCTGAGAGAACGCTTCTAGTGGAATCTTGAGGTCAATGTGACTGTATTCAACTTCCACCAGAATTTTTATGCATAATATATCCTGAATTTTGCAAATCTTGGCAGTCCAGAATTCTCCTCATCAGAATTTTCTGACATTTGAAAATCACATTTTGACTATTCTAAGAAATATTTTGGGATATACTTTCTGTCTCTATTATCCTGTGGCATTTTGTTGCACATCTGACTTGACTATTGCCATTTCTGCCCAGCAGTGGCAGGACTTTTTAGAAAGGTCCACAAACTGACTGCAAATATGCTAGTGAAAGTTTAAGAAATCTAAACATAGCAGAGCCAGCTTTCCACACAACATATAATCCTATTAATGTGGGTTTATAGAGTTGGCTCTCTACATTTGCAAACTTAACTTTTGTGGATTTAATTTTTATTATTTATTTATTTAAAAATTTTCTATACCGATCTTCTCACCTACAAAAGGGACTCAGATCCGGTTCACAACATGTGTTCATATACAAAAATACAAACCACACAATGCATCATCATTATACAATTAAAAACTTATTACAATACAACATCGTCATCATCACAATCACATAGCCACGTCGTCAAAGCATTCCTGGTCATAATTCACAGTTATTCATTCTCCTTCCATATGGACCAAAGTTGACTCAGTTGTCAAAGGCCGCATTCCATAGCCAAGTCTTTGTTAGCTTCCTGAACGTCAGGAGGGAGGGAGCAGTTCTAATCTCCTGTGGGAGGGAGTTCCAAAGCCAGGGAGCCACCATCGAGAAGGCCCTGTCTCTCGTCCCCACCAACCGCGATTGTGACAGTGGTGGGATCGAGAGCAGGGCCCCCCCGGAAGATCTTAAAGACCTTGATGGTTCATAGGGGAGAATCCGTTCGGACAGGTAAACAGGGCCAGAGTCGTTTAGGGCTTTGTAGGTCAAAACCAGCACTTTGAATTGTGCTCGGAAGCTAATCGGCAGCCAGTGGAGCTGGCGTAACAGAGGGGTTGTATGCTCCCTGTACCCAGCCCCCATTAGAAATCTGCCTGCCGAGCGTTGGACTAGCTGCAGCTTCCGGGCAGTCTTCAGAGGCAGCCCCAAGTAGAGAGCGTTGCAGTAATCTAGACGGGATGTAACCAATTTTAAATTATCTTTTCTAAGAAGCTGAAACAAATTATGGAAAGTAGGGCAAATGGATTTTCTCATATAGTAATTTCTCAAATTTCCACAGAAATTTCTGCCAGCTAATTTCTGTAACGTAACAGTTATGCATATGAGGCAATTTTGGATCTCCTTTCAAAAAGTTGTACATTTCTCTCATTCTAAATTTACTATTAGAGGTATGGGATTTCTTTCTGTGAAAACAAGGTCTCCTTGTTTTCATCTGTGGATGCATTGTTCTGTTTGGGCAAAATCCATGGCTTGGCATGTTAGCTGGAAACATTTTCTTATCAATTCCATTAAAAGAAGAGAGGGAATACATAACTCCATAGGATCAGTGTGCCTTGAACTGAGCTTTCTACTGTGATAATTTTCAAATTTGAATAATTTTTCTTGAATGCAGGACCTTATGGAAATTCAAACATATGTCAACATTTTACAACAGATTGTTCAAACAATCCCCCGAGTGTCCAGCCTGACAGCTGATGTCAATGAGGTAAGAATTTCATTTCATTGGGGTCACCAAAAAATTCCAGGGCCTCAAGTTCTTTAGAATTTGGAAGCAGAAAGAAAGAAAATAAAAAAAATAGCAAACTAATTTTCAAAGATGGTGTTGATACTATTTTTCTCTAGCTTCATAGAAGCTGCCTAGAGAGTACTCAAGGGTGAGCAGCCGGAATGGGAAGTTAAGCAAATGATACTTCTGGTTTGGAAAATCTGTTTAAAAAGAGTGATCTAATCCAATTTCATCAGGAGGGCTTGATTGAATGATTTATAGCAGAGGTCCTCAAACTAAGGCCCGGGGGCCAGATACGGCCCTCCAAGGTCATTTACCTGGTCCTTGCTCAGTGTCAACCTAAGTCTGAAACGAATGACAACAACAATCTCATCTCATCAGCCAAAAGCAGGCCCACACTTCCCATTAAAATACTAATAAGTTTATATTTGTTAACATTGTTCTTCATTTTAATTATTGTATTGTTTTACGTGTTTTTGCACTACAAATGAGATATGTACACTGTGCATAGGAATTTATTCATGTTTTTTGCAAATCATAATCCCACCCTCCAACAGTTTGAAAGACTGTGACCTGGCCCTTTGTTTAAAAAGTTTGAGGACCCCTGATTTATAGCATACATGTGATAAGACAAAAATAACTTTTTTTGTATGCAGACATTAAACATATATTTCCAAATACACATCCACCTGTATCTGGCAACTCTGGTCCAAATGTAGATCCAAATGTGTATGTAGTTTAGATGGGTATGTAAATATGCACAAATAGACATGCACAATCTTGGATTGTAATAAACACAGCAAAAAATACTTAACTTTTCCTGGGCGGGCGGGCGGGGGGGGGGTGTGTTGTGGTGGTAGTGGGATTGGGGAAAATACTAGTATTTTGAATGTTAATTTCAACTATGGTATGTTTCTATGTATTATACCAGAGGCACTCCAAGTGGCCAGATTCTGGTCAAAGGACATTTAATCAACTACCAAGTTTGCAAAATCTGTGTTTTTTAAATCTGTTTGTTTGTTTTGTTCTGTTAGAAATGTAATACAATGGTATGGTTGCTGATGACACGATAAATAAAATAAATAAAATAAAATGTATTATACAATATTTTTTTAAAAAAATCTTGGATTTCCAGAGTTTTTTAGGACCCGAAGGACAATCATCCCTAATGTTTGTCAATGCTAGCTGCGGACTATTAGGAACCCAAAAATTGGGGACCCTAGGAGACCCCAAAATTGAGCAAAGTTGGTCCACATTGTAGTGGGAAGCACTATTGCCACTGAAAGCTACTGATCCTCCATGTTTTTGGACAACCTAAATATAGTATATTCACTAGGCCTGGGTAACAACGGAAAAATTTGTTTCTAAAATCGATTTGTATTTGGGGGGTTTTTTTGTTTCAATATTTAAAATAATTACAAAATTTTCCTTTTAAAAAGTTCGATATTTACGAAATTTCGTAAATGGTAAAAATTTAACGAATCGATTTCTGAAACAATAACGAATCGATTCGTTAATGGCGGACGCGACCGCGAAATACGCTAAAAAACCTCCAAAACCTTCTGAAGCTTCCCTCTCCCTCTGTTGTTGACTGTTGGTGTGATATTATAATTTTTTTTCACTAATTAAACCATAAAACTGGCCCAGACATGCGGAAATAATAACGAAACGACCTCAAAACAATAACGAAACGAATACAATATCGAAATACGAAGCATTTACAAAACGTTTTTGAAAATTCGTTTTTTAATAATTGCTCCAGAATGGTTCGTTATCGTTTTGTAATTGAAAAAATTAACGAATTATTAACGAATTACGAATTAACGAAACAAAACCACCCAGCCCTAATATTCACTGCAGTGCCCTGGAATGCCTCATCCAGTAGATTTCAGTGAAGGACAATTTTTTGTAAGATTGCGAAAATTATTTGAAATTTTGTATTCATGTTGTGTTCATATACATAACGTTTGTTTAAATCTGAGTAGCTACAATTTAGGTGGTCAAGCCCACTTCTCACCTAAGGGAAACTTTTGCTCTCCTTTCTCCATAGTAAATCTTTCTTGTTTTGGAGATGTTGGTTGGGAAAATGAAGAAGGTGAACCAGTTGCAAAAGGAGGCTTTTTTTTCAAATAAACTATCAGTGATATCTCCCTTCAGGGTTTTCCAAGGAAGAGATGGCTACTGGTCATGTTCACTAAGAGAGAATTGTAGTGCAAAATCACAGGTTTTCTGAGCATTCCTTTGAAGCAGCCTCATCCCCCAAAGTATGACACAGGACAAAATAAACTTGTTCAGTGTTGTTGTTCATTCGTTCAGTCATCTCCAACTCTTCGTGACCTCATGGACCAGCCCACGCCAGAGCTCCCTGTCGGCCTCACCACCCCCAGCTCCTTCAAGGTCAGTCCAGTCACTTCAAGGATGCCCTTCCTCAGGGATCACGCTTGGTCTGACCTCTCTGCCACGACCGTCCCGTCTTGGGTGGCCCTTCATGGTTTTGCTCATGACATCATTGAGGTGCTCAAGCTCCAGCGCCATGACAAGGTGGTGATCCTTTGCTGGAGGACCTTGTTCAGTAACTTCCAGTAAATTTGGAATCTAAGGTTGCCCCTTGGATTCCAGTAAACAGTGCTTCTTTGGACATAATAGGAACTCAACAGGATTTTACAGTTCATCATCTCACCCAAACACATTTCTTTTCCAATCAAATAAAATTTGTGAAACAACAGGGCATCTGGAGTGTTCCTGCTGAAAACACGATGACAATCAGAACAAAAATTGGTTTGTCAAGACCTTTTCTCCTAGGGAAATGTTTTTAGCACTTAATGAAATCTCCAATGGTTCTTGCATGCAACCCGCTTCTTATGCCCTACTTATCTCTGTGTTTTGATCCTAGGAGAGGCTGATAACCGAGAGGAAAATACCAATTCTTCAGGGCCAGTTAGAAGAATACAAGAGTGTCCTTTGCCAGCTCCAGGCTCAAAAAATAAAACTGCAGACAGAGGTATTCTTTTTTTCACAAATGCTGCTCTTTGTAGACTAACTTTATCTGTTTGCCAATTAGCATTTGGGGACTGTGAAATTTGAGAACAGTTGTGTTTCAAAGCCAGAGAGATATCTAAAGAAGCGTTGAATCAATTTGTTTTCAAGCATTTGATCTTTCTCTTTAGTGGACAAGTCTATTGGGAAACGTGTTATTCAGTGAAAAATGTTCAGAGATTGAAGTGTGTTAACCCTAAATGAGGAAGAAAATAGATATCAGACTCAAGCTTTTTTAGCCAAGGGATTGAAAAGCTCAATTTAAAATAGAGTAAACAGAATTGTTAGAATAAAATTCTATTTATTTATTCCTCACTATGGTTGTATATGATGTCATAAGCCAAAGGACAAAGTGTAGTATAAGACAGATAAATTCTACATAAGGTCCTCCAAAAAACAAGTCATAGAATCATACAATCCTAGAATTGGGAGAGACCTCTTGGGCCATCCAATCCAACCCCCTGCCAAGAAGCAGGAAAATTGCATTCAAAGCACCCCCAACAGATGGCCATCCAGCCTCTGTTTAAAAGCTTCCAAAGAAGGAGCCTCTACCACACTTGGGGACGGAGAGTTCCACTGCTGAACAGCTCTCACAGTCAGCAAGTTCTTCCTAAGTTCTTCAATGCTAATGAAAGTGGTCAGTTAAAACATTCACACCTAGCTCCAGCAGAGAAGAGCTCTTTGCCCCACCCCAGTCATTCCACAGATATATAAACCCATTTTCCTAATTCCAACAGACCTCACTACCTCTGAGGATGCTTGCCATAGATGCAGGCGAAACGTCAGGAGAAAATGCCTCTAGAACATGGCCATATAGCCCAAAAAACCCCACAAGAACCTAGTTCTTCCTAATGTTCAGATGGAATCTCCTCTCTTGTAGTTTGAAGCCATTGCACCGCATCCTAGTCTCCAGGGCAGCAGAAAACAGGTTTGCTCCCTCCTCCCTGTGACTTCCTCTCACTTCCTCTTGTGGACAACCACTCTGTCAAATGCTTGCCTACAATGATCAGGACCCAAACCTAAATAAGAGGTTAGAAATAGCTGCTGGAGTTAGGTGGGTCTTTCTCTTATTTCTCTTAAGCACACAATGACACACAGATCATGGGCAGACATGAAAAAGCAACTGCGCAACAGCAAAGAAAGCTCCTTTAGGAATTGCCACTTCAAAGCATTACTGGGATTGTGGTTCCAAATAGTATTAGTTCACTTACCTAATCTCGCCTTTCAATTCAAGAAGTCCTCTCAGTTGCTTGAAGCAATAGCCAAGGGGTAAGGTTTCACTGCTGGCCTAGGAGCTATTACAAACCTGACTAAAGATATTAATTTCAACTCTGTTAGGTCAAAGGGCCACAGAGGTAAAATCTGTACCTTTAGGACTATACTCTTAGAACTTCATCAGACAGATGGAGGGAAAGTGGGAGAAAGTGGAGAGAAACATCTTATTTCGTTTCCTGGGGTGGCAAGCCACCCTACATCCTTACTGCATAGATGCTTGTCCCCCCCCCCCCACACACACACACACTTTCTCTCACTTTTCTCCTTGTGGAGTTGGGTAACAGTTGGGTAAGATGAGTTTAGGGCTCCATTTCCATATGCTGTGGAAACAAAGCCCCGTGGAGTCCCACCGGAAAAACATCAAGTTATAGCCACTGTGGGACTCCGTTTTTGAAGTGCATGGAAATGGAGCACCAAAGCTGTGAGACAAGCTTCTTGGGCTCAGTTCTCCCTTCTGCAGTATTCTGGTGGGTGGGATAGAGGGGTGTGTGTGTGTGATAAAGCAGATGTCAGGTGAGATAAAGGTCTAAATGCATCTGTCTGCTGGAAGCCCAGGAATGTTGGAAAGCTCTGGCTGTCTGGCCAATCCAAATCTTTCTCTCCTTCCTCCTGGTCAATGGTGGCACATGGAGGCATATGGAGGGGCAGGCACCATGGGATTGGGGCACAAATAGTGAGTGTAGTCAGAGGCGGCCCTAGGTAATTTTCAACGGTAAGCAAACAGTATTTTGGCGCCCCCCCCCAACCAATCATTGATATATATTTTCTGTTTGTCGTGGGAGTTCTGTGTGCCATATTTGGTTCAATTCCATCATTGGTGGAGTTCAGAATGCTCTTTGATTGTAGGTGAACTATACATCCCAGTAACTACACTTGCCACATTTGCTCCCTTGCCTGGCCCGCTTTGGGTCCGGAGGCGTGCCTGAAGACCCCGGCGTGTGCACCAAAAGTCACCTCTTCTCCTGACTTTCTCCTCAGCCATTGGGACCGAGAAGAGAGAGAGAGACAGAGGTGGGGATGCCCACCTTTCCTGAAGGTAGGCGCAAAAACAAAGGAGGGAGTGGAGGTAGGAGATACCTCCAGCCGGAGGGGCTCTCTCTCTCTCTCTCTTGGCCCCAATGGCTGAAGAGAAAGTCAGGAGAAGAGGCGACTTTTGGTGCGCACGCTGGGGTCTTCAGACACGCCTCTGGACCCGAAGCGGGCCAGCGCGGCGGCTCCGCCCCTTGGCCCACCCGCAGATTGGGGAGAGGAGAGGAGGCGGGTGGAGCGCCGGGGGATCGGGAAAGGGAGCCGGTCATGGGGAAGGGATTGAACGCGGAGAATGATTGAGCGCCGGCTCTGCTCGCGCACCCGGTGGCCAGATGGAGCAGGAACGAGAGGGGCTAGACGAGGCTCAAGGGCCCAGCCCCTTTGGGAAGAGGATCGCCCGGCAGCGAGGCAAGAAAGCCGAGGCTCCCCCCAGACTGCTAGGGCTGTTGTGAGCTGAGGGGACACTCCTCAAGTGGCAGTCGAGGGGCATTTACAGAGGCGCCTCTGTGCCCCGGCAAAAAAAAGTGTTCTGCGACCGCTTACTTCGCGTAATGGATCAGCCGCCCCTGAGTGTAGTGCAGATTGGCCAGGCAGCAAGAGCTTTCCAACATTCCCTGAACCAATGCATTTGACTTTTTCTTCTTCTTCTTCCCTGAACACCTGCTTTTCTGATAGTCCCTTGAATGAGTAGCAATCTCCCTAATCTTGCTTGTCCCTCATTCTCTATGTTTATGTAAATGCAGGTAATATAAATCCCAGGGGAAAAAATCCAAAATAAATAACCCCTCTGGTCCCAAGCCTTTTGGATAAGGGAGACCCAATCTGTGCTTCTATATTATAGTCCTGCCAAAACAATGACATTGGAATGTCTCCCAAAGAGTTCTGTACTCCAATTCTCACCAGTGCGGGAATCCACAGATCAGACATTCCTGAGAGGTGGCTGTCCATCTCCATCAAATAGATCCTTCTATTCATGAGAAATTTTGTTTGCATCACAATTGTATATTTTGGGCTTTTGTCTGTATGCTTTTTAGGATGATAGGTATGTAGCCAGCCACCTTCTTCTGCTCTTTTTCTGGGAAGGTTGACATTTTTTTTTTACTTCAGGGCTTTATGGGTCATATTTCTGAGCCTTTCAGCATTGAGTGTTTTTGGAAAATAAAATAAAATAGTATTATTGCTCAGTGAGCGAGTGCCACCTGGTGGCCAATTTGTATTCCACAATAACATTATTAGGCTAAGAATTTTGATTTGCAGGATCATGGGATTTGAACACACAGTAGTAAATCCTTCCCTCTGGCTGGAATTTCCAATTGGATGTAGCTCTTTTCTTTGTGTAGACATTGGGTATGCTTTTTTTTTTTTTGGCAAGCTGGAACTCCAACAGTATGACAACAAAAAGAAAAACATAATAAAATAGACCATAAAGTGCAAGATTTTGTGAAGCAACGGGATATAAACATTAGGCTTGGGTAACAACGGAAAAATTTGGTTCTAAACTTGTTTCATTTTTAGGGAGGCCCTTGTGTTTGGTTTTTTTTAAAGAATTCCGAAATTTTCCTTTAAAAAAGTTCGAAATATACCAAAATTTCGTAAAATTACGAATCGATTCGTTAATGGCGGACGCGATTGCGCAATATGCTAAAAAAAACCCTCCAAATGGGACAGGGGGAACTTCTGAAGCTTCCCTCTCCCTCTGTTGTTGACTGTTGGTGTGATAATTTATTTTTTATCATTGATAAAACAAACAACAACTATAAAACTTGCACCAGACATACGGAAATAATTACGAAACAATTTCGAAACAATTTTGAACCAATTACGAAACAATTACGAAACAATACGAAATAAATTGGAAAAATTGTTTTGATTTTTAATTACTCCTCACAGTAGTCCTGCATGGCTCAATATTGGATCGTAAGCTAATTTAAATACGAATTAATAACGAATTACGAAATTAACGAACGAAACCGCCCAAGCCTAATAAACATATACCAGAATGTGATACAATAAAATAGAAGGAGCAACACCAAGCCACTGGAAAAGAAATAGCCATGACCAAACAGAAACACAAATATAAACAAACTAACCAACTGTTGTAAACACCAAATATTTCAGCCAGAAATTTAATTACCTTGACTGATAAAAAATTAAATAATTGTAATGGACTTGGTTTTTCACTGTTTTTTTCCTGAAGTTGCCAGCCTTTATTCACATAGACTGTGATCCCGGATTACATTGTACATCTTCTGTTTAGATAGACAGAACTATATATGACAATGATGTAGAGTTACACCCCATTTTTCTCTGAAAGTGGGATGGGTATAGGTCTTTTAAGGAAAATAGGTCTTTTAAGGAAAATAACAAGCATAATGATTGAATGAATGATTGAGTGGTGCCTGCATGGAAATGTTATATTTTCTCATAGATCTAGGAGTATTACTATTATAATTTTTGGGAGATTACTAGCAGTTCTTTGAGACACTGTTACTGAGTTATAAGCCAATGAATAGTTCCATCTCCAGGATGCCTACACAACTGAAAATGAAGAAATATAGAGCAGGTTTGGATTACAACTATGGAGAACAGGGTTGAGTCCCCCCACCCCTTCAGTAATGGAAACCCATTGGGTGACCTAGGCCAAATCACATACACTCAGCCCAAGAAAACCCCATGATAGGGTCACCTTAGAGTGGGAATGAGGATTGGGAGCTGGTGGAAGAAGAAGTGTTTTTGGAAACTAGGTTTTCAGAGAGAGAGCGTCTGTGTCAGGCAGGGCTGATTAGCTGACAGGAAAGGTCTGACGGCTACCTGATTTCTTGTGGGAGATAGCACAAGGGATTAGCTCTCTAGACTGAGTTAGTTAGTAAGAACTCTGGGAGAGTTAGCTTAAAACTCAGGGGACTACCTAGGTTAGGTTAGTCAGAAACTCATTGCTATTTCTCTGAAGTAGAGTGAGGGATTTTTGTAACCAACAGCTATATCGGTTTGATTAGCTCTGTATGTAACTAAGTGAAAAAACTCTTTTCAAGCAACCATCAAGCTACTGTACATTTGTAACAAGTCAAGCACTTTGTGACTCTCAGAAGAAGAAGTTAGTTGTCTGTTTTTATAAATAAATATTTTTCTATTTAACTTTCAAAAAGATCTCTATCGTTCCTCAATCTATCTGTAATCTTTTGTGATAATTCTATTATCTTTAACATCCTAATACCACAGAAAAATCCCTTATCCAAACAGTCCTTTTTGGAGTTAAGGGGAGGGCTGTGTTGGCAGAGAAGGGAAAAGTTTACATCAGAAACTCATTTTTAAAATCCTAAGGCAGTTTGGGTTGGTGGCAGCATTAAACCAAAAGAAGACTGAAGCAGTGTTCACTCTACCATTACACACCTCTAACATCATATCGCTACTATACTATTGTCCAGCAGTGTGATATTACATATAATCCTTTACAGTGGTGTTCGGCTGTGGGATATATTATAGTATATACTTTATACTGGTGAGATACTTGGTGTTAGATAACTAAGCATTCTGTTATATTGGTGGCAAGCGGCGTGATTTATAATAAGATATAACTTTGCACTTCCCTATAATTGGTGCCAGTAGCGAGATTGATACCGTACACTTCTTTACACAGGCCTTCTCTTTACACTCAGAACTGGTTTTGTTAACAATAATTAAAGATCAGAATCACAAGTTAGTAAATACTATTCATAGTAGGCCATCTAGCATTGCATTTGGCTATCTTGGCAAGAGGAACCCCCCTCCCCCCCCCCGGAGAGTATACTACTGCATCCCATAAGTGAGAACTGCATCATTCCAAAGTATCGTATTTATGCAAGCCCATAGAATCTAATGTGAACCTCAGTTTTCAAAACTCTGAAACCAAAAATATATTTACTGTTGAATGTAATGTGCAGCAGCCAAAAGTGCACTCTTTGTAATTTGGTTGCTATATTTGCTGCATTCCTAGAATATATTCCTTAAAAACTAAGGTGTTAGAACACCAAAGCTTTCAGCAATAGAAAGCTTAGGGTGCATCTCTGATGTAGACTGAATGTACTTTAACTGCCTTGGTCCAATGCTACAGAATGTTGGAGGCTACAATGTATTGTCGAAGGCTTTCATGGCCGGAATCACTGGGTTGTTGTAGGTTTTTTCAGGCTATATGGCCATGTTCTAGAGGCATTCTGTCCTGACATTTCACCTAAATCTATGGCAAGCATCCTCAGAGGTAGTGAGGTAGTCACTAGGCTTGGGCGGTTTCGTTCGTTAATTTCGTAATTCGTTATTAATTCGTATTTAAATTAGCTTACGATCCAGTATTGAGCCTAGTAGTCACCTCACTACTTCTAAGGATGCTTGCCATAGATGCAGGCGAAACATCAGGATAAAATGCCTCTAGAACATGGCCATATAGCCCGAAAAAAACTACAACAGCCCTTGGAGGCTACAGTTTGACATGGTTTTGAGCCTTCTCTGCCAAAGGATGCCGATGCCTCACCAAACTACAAATCCCAGGATGCATAGCACTGAGTCATTGCAATTAAATGAGAGATGAAGTCGCTCAAAGAGTTGCTCTCCTTTGGCTTTAGCTCAGTACTAAGATGACCATATGACACAAATATAAGCCACACCCCAGTTTTGGCAAGGTAATTTAACCAGAAAAGGTGAGCATTAGATTTGAGTAAATGGGGTATTCATGCCAAGAGAGAGGGAACGACTCATTTTTTGAAGCCTGTGAAGTTGAAATTGAAGCTGGTTGCATACTAAATCCTAACTGAGAGGATTCACGATGCCCTGTGTTGGCACTGCTTCAAGCAGTAGTCCTTTATGATCTGGGTTTATTCCACAGACAACGATGCTGGAGCAGGCGATCAAGAGCACCCAGGAGAGCTACGAGGATGAGATCCAGTTGTACAACGAGCAGATTGACACACTGAGGAAGGGCATAGAAGAGGCAGAGAGGACCCTGGAAAAATACACCAATGACTGCCGTCAGCTCTCCATTTATAAGCAGTCTCTGGAGAATGAACTAGAGCGCTACAAACGTATTATTGAAAATGAAGATAGTAGGTAAGTGTGCCAAATAATGATGTATTTTACTGTTTAAAATGAAAAATACAAGTGTAAGGTAAAAATGTGCTTGCTTATGTTATTAACAGGATGCTGGCCAATTTTTTGTTAATTAAGTTATCACTATTATAGTTTAGCATTCTTTTTACCCACTTAAATAGGTGCCATTTGAAAATTCTATCTAAAATTGCAGTATCTTGCCCTTTTCATAGTCAAGGAAAAAGCAAACTGTTGCAGCTTCTTCTAGCTGTAATATTTTAATGGATAACTCTTGCCATCTTGTACCCACTCAGATGTCTCTTGGCCACATGGTTCCAAGTTTTCACCTGTGAAATGTTGAAGAGTATATTATTTCACTTAGAATGACAATCATTTGACTTTTTTAATTATTTAAAGTATTATTTTAGTACAAATTTCTGATATCTTTTCCCCCCTTGTTAGGTTGAATTCTGCCATTGTTGGAACCCCTGTAACACTCTTCACACCGACATACAGACCACCACAGGCTCCAGCCTTGAGAGGGAGAGGTAAATCACCCAAGGCCTTTTGGATCACGAGATTAATGTATGTGAGATGGGTGACGCTAGCATGTTTAGCTACAACAGATACGGTCGGTTTAAGAGATCATGGGTAACAGCTATTATTATGAGGGAGAAAAGTTATTAGAAGAAAAGGAAACAAAGCCAAGTAATATAAATATGTAGCTAGCAGCTATATCATGTTTCTTCTATTTTTATTTTGTAAGGGTGTGATCCTAACATGGGGAGTGTGTCTGGCAGAAGACAACAATCCATTCTTGCATACACTTGGTTATTTATTTATTTATGTATTTATCGTGTCAGGAGCAAGCCAAAGAGTTGTATTGCATTTTTTAACACACAAACAAACAAAACACAAAGTTTTGTAGTTTATTAAATATTCTTTGACCAGTAGCTGGGCACTTGGAGTGCCTCTGGTGTTACTATAAGAAGTTCCTCCATTGTGCATGTAGCAGGGCTCAGGTTGCATTGCAGCAGGTGGTCTGTAGTTTGCTCTTCTCCACACTCGCATGTCATAGATTCCACTTTGTAGCCCCATTTCTTAAGGTTGGCTCTGCATCTTGTGGTGCCAGAGCGCAGTCTATTCAGCGCCTTCCAAGTCACCCAGTTTTCTGTGTGCCCAGGGGGGAGTCTCTCATTTGGTATCAGCCATTGATTGAGGTTTTTGGCTGTGACTCTCGCTTGCTGGGGTGTTCCAGTGAGTGTCTCTGTAGATCTTAGAAAACTATTTCTTGATTGAAGTCGTTGACGTGCTGGCTGATACCCAAACAAGGGATGAGCTGGAGATGTCACTGCCTTGGTACTTTCACTATTGGTTGCTACTTCTCGGCAGATATCAGGTGGTGCAATACCGGCTAGACAATGTAATTTCTCCAGTGGTGTAGGGCGCAGACACCCCGTGATAATACGGCATGTCTCATTAAGAGCCACAACTACTGTTTTAGTGTGGTGAGATGTGTTCCACACCGGGCATGCATACTCAGCAGCAGAGTAGCAAGGGCAGATGTCTTCACTGTGTCTGGTTGTGATCCCCAGGTTGTGCCAGTCAGCTTTCGTATGATATTGTTTCTAGCACCCACTTTTTGCTTGATGTTCAGGCAGTGCTTCTTGTAGGTAAGAGCACGGTCCAAAGTAACTCCCAGGTATTTGGGTGTGCTCCAATGCTCCAGTGGGATTCCTTCCCAGGTAATCCTTAGAGCTCGGGATGCTTGTCTGTTCTTAAGGTGAAAAGCAAATGTCTGTGTTTTACATGATTAGGGATCAGCTGGTTTTCCCTGTAATAGGCAGTAAGAGCACCTAGAGCTTCGGAAAGCTTCTGTTCAACCATCTCAAAGCTCCCTGCTTAAGCGGTAATGGCACGATCATCAGCATAGATGAAACTCTCTGTCCCTTCTGGCAGTGGCTTGATTTCCAGTCTAGATTAAACCCACAATGCCTGCATTTACCATGAAATTGTGCTACTTGTACCAATACATTTTGTTTGTTTTCCATGTTGTGTGGATGTCTATGGGATAGTTATGGGATAGTTGTCTTTCTCTTTAGAGACTGTTAGCTGAGCATTTCTCCTGAAATATTTACAAGTGAAATAAGAATCGTGGTAGAATGGGCCAATGCGGTTCTCAAGTTAAGAAAGGCTGGGGCTCCTTTGTGAGATTCCATTTTTGATTTCAGTTTGAAATTTAAAGGATCAATTAATTTTGCTGAACCTCGTTCACCCATCCTGCAAAAAGGTATTAGATCTTGCCTTTAAAATTCAGATCAAAACCCAGAGCAAGTTCAGGTGCTGTTCCATTATCTAGTCGGAGGCCATTAGGGGGTGCTAGAGAGAAAAGGAGAGTCCATTTTATGGGGCTGGAGGGTGGGTCGAAGGAGAAAAATAATTCCCCTTGTTTTCCTGTTATTTCCCCTACCCATGTCCTTGTCGTGAAAACAATCCTCATTTATGATATGGGAAGGTGGGGGGGAGGAATAACCAGCAAAAACGGGGAAAATTATTTTTCTCCAACACCCCCCACCCTTGTAAAATGGACTATCCTTCTCTCAATCAAACCAATCAAATCATTTATTTCAGTCATTGACCAGCACAGGAAATAGAGTCACATTTTCATGCAAACTTGGTATGTTTGGTACATTAAAAATATAAATATAAATACTGAAGCAAATTTGGGTGATGGAGCGGAAGGGGAAACAGGGTAAAAACATACAATGCCCAGATCCATCACCAAATTGTAGATTCAGGGAAGAAGATTACTGGACACACAGTTAACTTTTGGGACTAGTCATTCCCTGACGGATTTTGTATGCTGCTGCACAGAACTTTGCAACATTGTAGGTTGTAGCTGAATTAATATCTGCAAGTAGCATGGAGGTATAAAATTGTCCTGAACGGCCTGGGTGCTTGTCTATCAGAGGTAAGATAAGCTTGGAACGGATATCCCTGTAGAACGGGCACTGAAGGAGCACATGTTCTATCGTTTCTACTTGACCCGAGTCACAGGGGCAGAGTCTCTCTGGGAAAGGGATCTTCCGGTAGCGGCCTTCGAGTACAGCTGATGGGAGAGCGTGGCATCAAGCCAGGGTGAAAGCCCTTCGATGAATAGGAACCTCTAAGTTTGTTAAATATGCCATAGGGGAGGCAAGATATCTGCTGTCTTCATTGATAAGGAAGGTTGGAACCGAGGCCAGATCTAGTTGTCACTCTGTGTCTCTGATACGTTGTTTAATAAGTGCTTTGGCTTGATTGTAATCCATAGCGAATGGTAGACCTGGAGAAAATCCCAATGAAGAGATTTTTGATGCTACCGCCTGCTTCCATGTGGATTAGAAGTCATCCTTCATGGTTAGTGGGACAAGACCAAAGGGTGCACGGGATAGTCTGAGCCAGAGGTTGAGTATGGCCACCCACACCCTGGCCTCCACTCTCATAAAGCCCGTTTCTAGTCGCAGGGTGGCATTAGAAACGCATTTAGGGACCTGCAAGGCTGATCTCAGAAACTTTGACTGAACCAGCTCTAATGGGGCAAAACTGGGGGAGGGGCCCAGCTGAGCACCATAGAAGAGTTGGGCTAATGACTTCGCTTCAAACAGCTTGAGCGCTGCCGGTGTGAAGTGGCCCCCTCTTGTCCTGAGATATTTAAGAATGGCAATTAAGCTCCCCTGCGCAGTGTTGGATACTTGATCCCCATGAGCACTTCTGCTACTACTAGATTGGAAAACTACACCTAGATATTTGAAGGATGTAACTTGTTCAATTTTATGTCCATCTATGTTCCAAGAGTAAGTCCTGGGCCTATTAGCGAAAGCCATGATTTTGGTTTTATTGTAATTAAGTTGGAGCTGATCTGTGTTGCAATGCTGTATTAATGCTCTCAGAGCTCTTTTGAGCCCAATGGGTGTTCTAGAGAGTACAGCAGCAGCATCTGCATAAAGCAGGATGGAGATGTGTCTTCCCGCCAGCTTTGGGAGGTGGAAGTCCATATTTTGAAGCTAGTCCACTATGGAGTTTATATTAAAGTTGAACAGCAAAGGGGCCAGGACGCAGCCTTACTTGACACTCTGGTTTTTCTTCAGATTGTATCCTTCTCTCTGTAGCAGCACACCCTAGTGGCCTCCGCTCAGATAATAGAACACTACCCAAATTCGTATCTGCTTGATCTTGCAAACTCAACCCTCAACTATCTCCAGCTGTTGTTGGAATGCAACTCTCTTCATCCCCAGACATTGGTTATGCTTATCAGAGATGATGGAATTTGCAGTACAACATAATATGGTTTAGAACAGTGGTTCTCAACCTGGGGTCCCCAGATGTTTCTAGTCTCCAACTCCCAGAAATCCTAACAGCTGGTAAACTGGCTAGGATTTCTGGGAGTTGTAGGCCAAAACCATCTGGGGACCCCAGATTGAGAACCACTGGTTTAGAGGATAGTCCTGCCCATTGAAGGAGCAAATTTAGTAACAATATGCTATGATCTAATTTTAAGTACCATCACTCTGAGTCCGCAAAATCAAAGATTAGTAAGATAGCTTCTTCTCTGGAAATGCCTTTTCTTCATCAAATACTTGTGCCACTTTAATGATATTCAGAAGAAAATTCACGTTTGCATGGAGTGAGCTGGAATCTCTGAAACCTTATGCTAGGAATGTATTCCCTCCTTTAATCTCAAAGGTAATGCAGGATTTTTATGTTACTCTGGTCACATATTGTTTTGTGTTTGTTTTCTTCTCATTTCCTTTGTTACAGACATTACACTGGTTATACAAGATATTGCTAGTGCAAAGCCAAGGCAAAGAAGTCTGCCCAAAAAGACATCAAGGCGAAAAGAGATAACACCTAAAGACCTTACCAATGGTGCACAATCAGAAAAGATATATGGCCAACCCCTAGAAGGCTTAGATCATGATGAGCAGGATTTCAAATATGAGGGATTAGTAGTATCAAGTGAACATGGGCATGATGATGATGTTGAAGAAAAAACACAGCAAGAAAGATTTCTAGGGGATGTACCCGATGGGGCACAGATAAGCAGCACTTTTGATAAATTGTGCAATATAGTCAGAGACAGAATCAGATGCTATCAGAGACCAGAAGCCCAAACTGATTTCTATACTAAAGGGCGTTATGTCCTTGTCACAGGAGGGGGAAGTTATGAGGAGACCAGCTTCATTTCTTCATCCATTCCTTCTTTAGGTGAGATCACTGTTTCTGACAGTGAAGGAAAGATGCTAAGTGAAAAGGATGTACATCCCATACCAGAGTTGCCTGAGCCATTTGAGCATGACAAAGGTGAACCTGAAGCCTATGAAACACCAGAGGGGCCCAAAAGTCAGGAAGATATAATTGGTACATTCCCAACTGTAGGAATACAGGAACACAGATCGGAACGTAAAGAAAAGGAAGATGTAACTGAACAGCTGGGAAAGTCTGAAGAAAAAGGTGAAGAGGCAGGAGTTTATGTCAGCAAAGAATATGATAGAGAAATCAGTTTTTCATTCAAGGACCTGAGCCCACCAAATATCATGAGTTATGAAAAGGTGGAAGTCATGGAATCCATTGAGAAATTCTCAGATGACAAAGTACAGAGCTATGAAGAAACAGCTATGGTTATGGAAACCATGATTGAGAAGACCAGCAAGAAGAGGATGGGAGACAAGAGCTCTTAACATGCATCTTAAGACAGACAATTTCTCCAGTTCAGAGTTATTACAGCTATGACCCCAACTTACCCCATATACCCATGAATATGTCTAGAAATTTTAGTCAAATCAGTTTTTAAAACATGGCTTATTCATGGGTCAACATGAGTAGTGTTACTCTTATCCAAAAAGGAAACATGTCCTTCTCTGAGTAAAGTGCTGAAAGACAAAAGCTTAGTCTTTCCAAGGAGAACATCAAAGAAGCACCAAACGCCTCTACTCTTTCCAATGTGGTACCACTAACTTTGTGAATACTTGGGTGAGGAAATGGCAGCAGTGTCCAGATGCAGCTGTCCCCAAGACGGTGTTAGTTATTTCCTCTTTCCATAGAAAAACTCTCAATTTATTCACAGGTCATATCAAAATCCAGAATTTTTGTTCGCAAACCTGCTCTTGGTTTATATATGAGGTCAACATATACACAAATATATATGAGTGTTGTTCAAAAAATAATTCCTCACTTTTTTCTCAGAATATATTTATTCAAAATAGTTGAAAGTTGGTGCATGTATCAATGAATGCTTTTTTTACATGTACTATTTTTCTTCATTGTCTCCATCAACTTGTACGGCCTTACACCAGCATGAAAAAAGTGCGTGTACTTGCCAGTTATAGCTCTTGTCCTGTGTGTTTAGTCACTTTCATAGAGCATCAGTTGTGCTGTTATCCTCTTCAAAGTGAGTTCCATGCAAAGCTTCTTAAAAAGACCAAAAGAGGTGGAAATCTGACGGTGCCAGATCAGGAGATTTTGGAGATGTGTTCCCGTGCTTTCAACTTGTACGAGGGTGTGCATTGTCATGTTGGAGCAACATTTCTGCTGGATTCTTGCCAGATCAAATTTCCTGAAATTGTTGCTTGAACTTGTTCAGAGTGCTGATGTACGCCTTTGAGTTAATGGTTGCACTCCTTGGCATCACATCAACAAGAGTGACTCCACAGTCCAAAAAGACAGTAACTATGTCTTTTCCTGAAGAGGGGGCTGTCTTTAATTAATAATAACATAATAAAACTTCATTTATACCGGGCTCCATCTCCCCCAAAGGGACTTGGTGCGGCTTACATGAGGTCATGCCCATCAGTACAATACACAAGAATATGACACATACAATTCTTTATCGATTAGTCAATTTTGACCATATCAAAACATGCAAAACATACACATACAGTAAAACCAAATATGAATACAAGGCATCATGGCCTACTGGCCTGTCAACCCACTCCTAAATAATTGAGCAACTACAAGATAAAAAGGTTGATGTTACTCTGTCACCCCATTGATCGCCAGGGTTGATTCGGCTGATCTGGCTGGCTAGGCGGGTGTCCCCTTCCTCCCTCACCGCTCCATGTGCGTCCCTCCTGAAGCTGCGCGCTCGGTGGAAGAGGACGATGTCCCAGGTATAGAAGGAGTGTACCGAGGTCTCCAGTCTTCGGTCCCGGGTTTACGATAGCTGTGCTCCCCTGCTAGAACCTCCAAACAAGCTCAAGGGAATATGACACAAGAACATAATAAAACCAAAAATTCCTTCTTTCCAGGCACTAGAAGATGATGCCACTCCATTGATGGTCTTTTTGTTAACATGTTGCACCCAAGTTTCATCACTTTTAACAATCTGGATCAAAAAGGCCTCCCCCTCCACATAAAAAATGAACTAACAATTCAGAAGAAATGAATTTTATTTGAATTTTGTGATCTGCTGTGAAACCTTGAGGTTTTTGTGTAGAGTATCTGAAAGCTTTAGTAATTGAATACACACTTCCAATGCTTACCAACAGCTGTAGGGCCAATTGTTGTGTTGTGTCAATTCACACGAATAATGACATCTGCACAGCTCCACATCTGGAGTATTGATTGTGGCAGGACATCCAGCACACAGCAGAACACAGAACTTGCTTTCTGCATTTCCTGATGCTTAAACTCTTAGTGAGCTGTCCAATTGTGCTCCTATCCACTTTTTTTTTGTCGTGTCAGGAGTGACTCCTGGTGTGAGAGAATTGGCCGTCTGCAAGGACGTTGCCCAGGGAACGCCTGGATGACTTGATGTTTTTATCATCCTTGTGGGAGGCTTCTCTCATGTCCCCGAATGAGGAGCTGGAGCTGATAGAGGGAGCTCATCCGCCTCTCCCCAGATTTGAACCTGTGACCTGTCGGTCTTCTGTCCTGCAGGCATAGGGGTTTAACCCACTGTGCCACCGGGGGCTCCTCTCCACTGGAAGTTGGATAGGAGCGCAAACACCACACACAAACATATATGTTCGCCACATTTTCATTTTCGTGTACCAAAAATTCAACTATAGCTCATTGCTTGTAATGGAACTCTCCATCAGAGGCCATTTTAACAGTTCGCTACATCTCCACCATCTGTTGGAATGGCTTGAAACTCAGTACATGCACTGGGAAAAATTCAGATTTCGAGCACAGAAGTTCACTTTTCTACCTTTGTTAATGGCTGAGAAAAAAATGTAGGGTATTATTTTTTGAATGACTATCATATGTTAGTAAACTTGATGGAACATTGCTAGAATGAGTGGTTTGAAAACTGTAGACTAAAGTATATATCTTGCGTGTTTTCACCCTTGATATGAAGCTGGTTTTGTCTCCATAGCATTGTATTCATACATTACCCACTCTGCTATGGGTGCTGCTGGGAAGTTTCTCCTAACCACCTCCAAACTCATTCACATGTACCTTTGTAGTAGTACATGCAAACTCTGTTTGTATGGTGGTTTCTCCTTAACAGCAAGAATGGGCATAGCCAGTGGTGAAAGCAACCTCATCACAGAATGGAGGTTAAAGTTAGAATTTAAGAAGAAGAGCATTCTGAGCACATCTACCCCAAACCCTACAATCTTGGTATTTACTAGAACTTTTAAAGGAACTTAATTTCAAACTTTTGCCCCAATCCACAAAAGAACTGCCAGATATATTGTTGAACTGAACCCTACTGTTTGGTTGCTAAGGAGCACACAGTAGGAGGAAAAACACATCACCTTCTTTCTTGAACAAAAGACCTTCTTGAACAAAACATTAATCAAGTTGGATTGGGGTGAATGTGTTTGGTATCATTACATTTAGATTTGTGTGTCTGAGATAGCTAGGAGAACTGATTTTTTTCCCCTGGAGTGATTATTAGAAAACATTGATGCCTGAATTTTATGAATTTTAGCTGGCAATATGTATTTTATTTTTATTTGATAGAAGCTTGACCTTTGAGAGAAAGTGTTTTCCAGAGGGTGGATTTTCATATTACATTGAAAAAAGTCACTTGGAAGTGTTATCTGCAACTATGGGTACAATTATATACACGTTTACATTGAAGGAAGTACGACTGGACTTAATGGGGCTTACTACAAAGAAGGTTTACATGGAATTATACATTTAGTGGGTTATAATTATTATCTTTATTTATATCCTGTCTTTCACCCAGTGGGGACTTAAGGCAGCCAATACGCCACACTAGCCAAGTTTAAAAGGTGCAATACAAAAGTTTAAAAACAATTAAATAGTAACAATGTGTTAAAAACAGAATTAAAATACCGTAAATACTACAATGGTCTTTAAAACTCATATTTCCCCAATACTACCCAATATACTTGGCTTTAAAATATTTAATAAGACTGTGAAAACAGACCCAGTTCCTGGGGTATCAATTCAGATCATAGGCTAACTGATCATGACATTGTTTTGTGCGTTTGGATGAGACTGGTAGCTCTAGTCCAGAGATTTCAAACTTAAAATAATCTGTTAGTGGCCACCAACACATGTGGATGGTGGCCCCTAACAGATTATTAGTGGCCATTTGCTTATCCATTGATTTTCCAACAACCATCAGTTGGGATACATGGGTTCAATCCTTTCACACCTTAGTGCAGGTGAGACATTACTGGAGACATGACAAGGAATCCATTTTGGTTGTTGCCTTGAAGGATAACAATCGCATTACATTGATAAATGTTTCAATTTTTTTTAAATGACATTATTTTTCAGCCCAAGTACCAATGTTAAGCGCATGTTTTCATCACAGAGATGCCAAGAAATTGACACTACCTTACATCTGTATAGAAACAAAACTCATTGAAAAAATTAAGGTTCTACTGAGGTTTCACATTGTATGTAGTGCTTGGAAGAAGGATTTTGCGCTTTGTTGGCATTTACTTAAGAGTTGGTTATTAGCCTGAAGTTAATTGTTGGGGAATTTTGTTGTAGAGAATGGTATTGAAGGCTCTTCAGAATAAAGGTTTTTTTTTGCCTACTTCTTATTTCTATAGTCTGTTTGTGGACCATTTCTTGTCTTCTTCAGGTTCTATGGTTTTCTCTCTTCAGAGTCTGCAGTAATATTCCATGCTGTGCCATTAAGGTATTTTGAATTACCAGTATTTCAATGGGAAGTGTGCGCCTGCTTTTGGGTGATGAAATAGTCAAGTTAAATAAGATTGTTCTTGTTGTGTGCCTTCAAAGTGTTTCAGACTGAGGGTGACACTAAGTCTAATGTTTAGGGCGGCAGCCCATTAAATGACCTTGTAGAGCTACATTTGGCCCACGGGCTTTAGTTTGGGGACCCCTGGTATCAGGCATGTAGCGTGGGGGGGGGCTTGAGGGGCTTCAGCCCCCCCCCCCCAAATTCTGAGGGTGGTCCGCGAGAAGGCCTTACTGGTACATTATTTAAACTGTTATGTTTATTCATATCATGATCTGATCACCATGCTCAATATATCCCATATGCATGGGGTATTGGGGTAACGATACAAAAGGTTTGCTAGGGTAGACCCTCTTTCACTCAGACTCAGCCCCCTCCCCCCCCAAATCAAACTCAGCCCCCCCCCCCCAAATCAAAATCCTGGCTACAGGCCTGCCTGGTATAAAGGATAGAGAGTTACGATGTTTTTAAAAATGTAAAGTACTTTCAATAATCAGCTTGGTGGGATTAAAAACCTGAGCAATAAGGCCTAATTTTGACAATGTGCACTGGTATAGCCTAGGTCACTAACAGAGCCCACCGGCTCTCATCAAATGATGCCAGCATGGCTCTGTGGGTGAAGAAAGGCAAAACC